GAATCTCCATAAATGAGCCCTGCTCAGGTTGCTCTCAGGTCTTCACTGATTCATTAGATAAACTTAATTCTGCCTGTAGAAAGGGAGAAAAAGATAAATATTTAGATTTTGGATGAGGAGAGATGACATGAGTTTAAAAACAACCAGAGCAGAGGGAGAGAAGAAGAGCTGAGCTTTCTTTACAAAGTCTAATTAGACAGCTAAGGTTGGCTTTAAACCTGCCTGGATCAGGTGGTTTCATGAAAAGGAGATTATCTCCTGTGGAAGAGAGACGAGGTTTGCTTTTAATTGGACCACATCAAGCAGCTCAAAGGGGGTGAAGCAGACAATTCAGGAGCAGGAAAAGCCAGAAAAAGCTCCTATTTCTCCCCCGATGATCGTTTCTGCTGCTCGTGAAGGAAGTTTGAGAAGTTGTTTAAATGTCTGGGGTGTTGTTGACGGCATGTGGAGGGAGCTCGTTTTATGAGGAGTGGGTTCAACGTGGAAATACTTTTTTTCTCCTCCGCCTGTGGAGCAGGTTGTAGACGGCTTAATCGTCTCCGTGGCCTGAGTTTAAATGTTCTCACTCTGAGAGCTACAAGCAGGCAACAGTGTTGGAATATCTTTTTATCAGAGTTTCCCTTGCAGTTTGAATTTTCTCTGCATGTCTTGGTTGTTCCTGAGCCAACATTTTGTTACAGTAGTTTAAATAAAAATAGAGTGTGCCAATTTGCCACTACGCAAACTTGATGCTAGATCTGGTTAAAAAAWATAACAGATTTTCTTTGTTTTTCTGGTTATGTTTGTCATGAGAAGTCACCAGATTTTCTGCAGGACTGTGTAATGGTGTCTAGCTCTCTCTAGTGGCCAGAGCATCAATTACATGCTTTTCTTTTTGAGCTTGTGTTTATCCTTTATTGGCCTGCAAACACGTTTTAATTAACACTCCAAGGGCTTTATTAAAAAATTATTTACTGGGCACAATGAAAAATGTTTTGTTAAATAAATAAAAATAAATATTAAATAAATCTGGGTAGGTTTTACACCACATAGAAATAGACTCCTAAACATAAATAAACCTTTATTTAACATCAGTATTATCGTTTTGGCAGTAATTTCCCAGGGACTGAGTTTGTGAGGAAGTATTTTATTTTTTCTTTACTTAAGCATTACTGTGATATTTAATCGTTTCAGATTCATGAAAAAACAACTGAAACATGAAAATTTGCATTTAACTATCAGAACATTCTGATTATCATTTCAAGAATGTTTTTTTAGATTTGACATGTAGTTTTTGCACAGTCTTACCTTCAGTCTGCTTCTTGTTAAAGGGATCCACGATTAGTTGTAACATTAAACTTTATTTGATCAACATTTATTTTAACTGTAAAATAAAGACTGTAAAAATACTGTAGGAGGTTTAGTTTTGTACATTTTTAAAAATAAATTTTAACACGAACAGAGCCATTTTATTTACACGCAAAGCATTCTGGGTAAATGATGACAACTAGGTCATTGGTGTGAGGCTGCTAGTGAGCTATATCCACCCTGAAGGTTAATCTTGGACAATATTTGACGATTGGCTCTTTTAAATGAAACCAGAGAGCGTTGACAGAGAGGAGAAGGTAGAAATGACTCAGCCTGTAACTGAAAATATAGATGGAGGACAACAGTTTAGCTTTAGCTTTCACACTAGTGCTGAGCTAATACAC